AGGAGCTCACATCACAAAATCCCCAAACTGCAGATGCTGGCATGGAGGTGGAGAGAAGGAAACACTTTTGCACTGCTGGTGGGATTGCAAACTAATACAACCTCTGTGGAAAGAAGTATGGAGAATTCCCAAAGGATTAAAAGTTGACCTTCCACTTGATCCCTCAATCTCATTAGTAGGTATCTACCAAGAAGGAAAAAAAATCATTCACAAGGACATTTGCACTAGAATATTTATTGCAGGTAAATTCACAATTGCCAAGACATGGAAGCAACCCAAGTACCCATCAACCCATGAATGGATTGACAAACTATTCAGCTATAAGAAAAAATGGAAACTTTACATCTTTTGTGTTTACCTGGATGGAGTTGAAACACATTCTTCTTTTATTTTTTTTTTTTTCTGATGTGGAGTCTCACATTGTTGCCCTTGGTAGGGTGCTGTGGCGTCACAGCTCACAGCAACCTCAAACTCTTGGGCTTAAGCAATTCTCTTGCCTTAGCCTCCCAAGGAGCTGGGACTATAGGTGCCCACCACAACACCCAGCTAAAACACATTCTTATTAGTAAATTATCACAAGAATGGAAAAACAGGTATCCAATGTACTCAATACTAGTATGAAACCAATATATAAACAACTACATGCCCACATGAAAGAAAACACACAAGTATATTCTAGTGAAGGAGAGAGGGGGCGACACCCATGCTCGCTAGGTAGGACACTAGCCACTTACACTGAGGCTGGCGGGTTCGAATCCGTCCTGGGCCAGCTAAAATCAACAATGACAACTGCAACAACAACAAAACAAATAAAAAAAAATAGCTGGGCATCTGTAGTCCCAGTTACTCGGGAGGCTGAGGCAGCATAACTCTATGGCACTCTACTCCCTTCCAGAAATGGCACGTAGAAATCCACTGTCTCAAAAAAAAAAAAAAAAAAAAAAAAAAAAAGGAGAGGCGGGAGAGGATGGGGAAAGGGTGACTCGTGGGTTCTTACCTAAGGTGCACAATGTGAGAATGTTTAGCACATCCCCTGGGTGAAGAGCTCAACAACAACTTGAACTTTACCTTAGATACAGAAACAATGTAACCTAAACATTTATATCCTCATGTTAATCTAAAATAAAAACAAAAGATTCAACAGGAAAATGAGGCTACTTAACAAATGCTAATTCAGTTTTAGGCTACTTTAATAAATGTAGAATGTCTAGAATATAGGAGAGAAAATTTTCACTCTGTACTGGTCCAACATTATCTGGAGTTCTAGGATCACACTTTAAGAGGAACATTGATAGAGGTATCTTAGGCTGTTTTCTGTTACTATAACTGAATATCACAGACTAGGTAACTTATAAAGAATAGAAGTTTATTTAGCTAATAGTTCTGGAGCCTGGAAAGTCCAAGAACATGGTGCTGGTATCTGGTGAGGATGTTCTTGCTATGTCATAACATGGCAGAGAGGGCAAGGGAGCCAGAGAGAGCTGAGAGAGCTTGCTTTTATAATGAATCCCCTCTTGTGATAATGAACCCATTCTGTGATGGTGACATTAATCCAGTCATGAGGATGTAGTCTTCATTAATCCATTAATCCATTCATGAAGACAGAGGGATTAAGTTTTCAACACATGAACTTTTGGGGGATCTTCAAACCATAACAAGAGGACAGTGAGGAAATTTGAAACTGCATAAACTTAATTAGTGAGAGTATAGGCTCTGATATCAGTCAAGGCCGAGTTCAAGTCCCATCTCTGCAGCTTATTAGTCATGTGAATTTGGCAAGTTATTTAATTTTACTTATCTTCATGTTCCTATCTGTAAGATAGAGAGAAAAATAATGCTTACCTCTTAGGATTGTGGTGAGAATTAAATAAGATCCATATATGTTAATGCCTAGAACAATAATAAACTCACCATAAACAGTAACTCTTATTGATAGGGATAGTTGAAGGAACTGGATGGGTTTTCTTAGATTTTAGAAGGGTAACATGGAAGCAGATGTGATTTCTATAGAGCTTCAGAAGACAGAAGTTTACAAGGATTCAGAATATAAGAATATATTCTTGGGCAGGGCACGGTATCTCAGGCCTGTAATCTTAGCACTCTGGGAGGCTGATATGGGTAGATTCCTTGAGCTCAGGAGTTCAAGACCAGCCTGAGCAAGAGTGAGACCCTGTCTTTAAAAATAGCCAGGTGTTGTGGCAGGCGCCTGTAGTTCTAGCTACTTGGGAGGCTGAGGGAAGAAAGAGGATCACTTGAGGTGAGTGAGGTGACATGTATCAGGTAACATGTAAAGTACTGAACTAGACATGTGAGATCTTTTCCAAACCACTATTCTTTTTTTTTCTTTATTTTATGACAAAGAGTTTGAGGTTGCTGCGAGCTATGATGCCACAGCACTCTACCAAGGGTTACAAAGTGAGACTCTGTCTCAAAAAAAAAAAAAAGAATATATCCTTATTTAAGAAATTTATAAACATAAGAAATTTATTCCTAAGAACATGAACTAGTGGACAATAAATTGGGCTGCCTGAGAAAGTAATGACTGTCATCTCTCCCCACCCCCTGCCCAGAGTACCATGGGTATAACTGAGAGAGTATTCCTGTATCAGGTAAAGTACTGAACTAGACATGTGAGAATGTGAACTATTTTTTTTCTTTATTTTATGACAAAGGCTTTGCAGACATCATTTTTAATAGCTAGATAATATCTTAGCAAGTGGATTCATCACTATTTACTTAATCTCCCTCCAATATAATTAGGCATTTTGGTAATTTCTAGTTTGTGGCTATTGTTAAAATCCCTGTTCTTATTGTTCCTTCAAAAGATATTCATTGAGCTCCAACACCTTGATGTAGACTGGCTAAGTAGTGTAGATAGAGCAGTGAGCAAAACAAACTTGGTCCTTGTCTATAAGTGTACAATTTACCAGAAGCACGGAGTTTATGGCTCCAGTGGCCACCCTTTCTTGAAATTCTTTTTGGTTCTCCTCTTACCTCACTGACAGTATCTCCTTTGATCCTTCAGTTGTTTTTCCCCATTCCTATCACACTTGGCATCCTCCAGTCTTCCTTCTGAGGTCACTTTACTTTTTCTTGTATACTTTCTTCTTTGGTCATTTCTCCCAGTGTATGCAGGCTTTATAAGCTATTAGATTTGTTTTCCTGAAAATATTTCCTATGCTCAAAAATTCTTAATGACTCCCTGTGAATTCTCCATTAAATAAAAAAAACTATTGAGGCCCTCAGCTGCATACTTCAACCCACTTCTCTAGACAGATCTCCAGCTGGTCCTATAACCTTTGGGCAGATTAGACAACCCTTGGTCCCCATTTCCCCCTTTGACCCTTCTCTTGCCTTTCTATTTTTCAGAGTCTTTGTTTGTTCAGACCTCAAAACCACATCTTCCCTGAAGTCCTCTTTTTATTTAAAACTTGTTGCAAATGCTAACATGTACATATGTCCTTCAGGTGGAAGAGATCTTGTCCCTCCTCTAAATTAGCAGCATGCCTAATATGGCACTTGGATTTTTCTTATCACCTAATCAGTTTATAAATTTCTTGAGATTTGTTGCTACTGTATTTTAATAGTACCTAGTATTGTGATGTACACAATGTAGTCATTTAATAAATATTTGCTGACAGATGAATGGGTTATACAATAGGATGATATAACTTAAAAAGAAAAATATATTTTATAGATGGTTAAAATCCGTAATTCTTTTTTTTTTTTTTTTGAGACAGAATCTCATTCTGTCACCCTGGGGTTGAGTGCTGTGACCTCAAACTCTTGGGCTCAAGAGTTCCTCTTGCCTCAGCCTCCTAAGTAGCTGGCACTACAGGTACCTGCCACAATGCCCAGCTAATTTTTCTATTTTTTAGTAGAGACAGGGTCTCACTCTTGCTTAGGCTGGTCTTGAATCCCTGAGCTCGAGCAATCAGCCGGTCTTGGCCTCCCAGAGTGCTAGAATTATAGGTGTGAGCCACTGCACTCAGCCACAATCCATAAAATGTTTTTTTTTTTTTTTTGAGACGGAGCCTCAAACTATCCCCCTGGGTAGAGTGCCATGGCATCACGCTCATAGCAACCTCCAACTCCTGGGCTCAAGCGAGTCTCCTGCCTCAGCCTCCCCAGTAGCTGGGACTACAGGCGCCCACCACAACGCCTGGCCATTTTTTTTTGGTTGCAGCCGTCATTGTTGTTTGGCGGGCCCGGGCTGGGGATTCGACCCCGCCACCTTAGGTGTATGTGGCTGGCGCCTTAGCCACTTGAGCCACAGGCGACGAGCCCATAAAACATTTTGAAGGTAAAACTGTTTATTGAGCACCTTCTATGTGCCAGGTACTGTTCTAGGCATTGAGGATAACAGAAATTAATAAAACAGTCTACAAAATATTCTATATCAAATGAAGGTAAGTGCTATGAAGCAAGATAAATGATGATAAAAGGAATGGTTAATGATGGAAGTGCTACTTAATAGAGCGGTGAGGGAAGGCTTCCCTGACAGGATGGTATTTAAACAGAGATAATATATATTAGGACCTGATATACATCAGGATTATTTTTTAAATTGTCAGTAAGTTATAATTGAAAAAAATTTTTTTTTTCTAGTCTCATCCTTTTATCTTACATGTGAATAATTTAAAAATGACCAGGTATGGTGGCTCACACCTATAATCCCAGTGCTTTGGGGGAAGCTGAAACAGGAGCATTGCTGGAGTCCAAGATTTGGAGGTTACAGGGAGCTGTGTTCACTCCACTGCACTCCAGTCTGGGTGACAGGGTGAGATCCTGCCTCTTAAAAAGTAAATTAATTTGAAAAATCAATAAATAAGATCTCATTGATATTATCTGTCGGAATTTGTTTCCCATAGAAAATTCAGTAAGATAACTCTGAAATCTCTTCTTCTAGTATAGTTGCAAAAATGTTACAATTGTAATATTTTAGTAATTTATGTAATGTTATCAAGAGAGTCATCCATTTTTCTAACTATAAATTTCAGAATTGATGGAGCCAAAAGAAATTTAGATAGAACATTGGACAAAAGAATACCTCCGTTACCAGAGGTCAATTATCCTCCAACTGTAAGTTTATATTTTCTCTTTAAAAAATTTATCCTTATGCCATTTTAATTCTTAATTAAGTCAATCTCAATATAACGAATATTTTTTAAAAGAATAATAGATACATTTTAAAGTATTCATACATTTTAAAGTATTTTTAATTTGAAAACATTAAATCAATTTAAATAATTTATCCTTAATTTAATTATGTCTTGTTTGTTTGTTTTTGACAGATGACCAGTGAAATTAAAAAAAAAGGAGTGAGTTCAATTTTTTATATTTATTGTTTAGAAAATGTTCAAATAAGTTATTGTAAAATAGCTCCTTTTAAGACCACCTGCTAAATCCTTTTCTAGAAAAGGAAGACATTTAGACACAGAGAGTTTCATTTTTTCTGACCAAGGGAACAAACGTCATGGATAACAATATGGGTTTTAAAAATATTTTTGTTGGCAAGCATTATTTGAGGGTCAGTTTGTATAAATATTTTAGTTTTTATCCCAAACAACTAAAAGATATATTCAGTGAGGCAGTTATAAAGGAAATGCATCTGCCTTTTTTATTAGGTCGATAATTGATTATTATTATTATTTGTTTTCTTTTTTTTTGAGATACAGTCTCACTATGTCACCCTCAGTGGAGTGCTGTGGTGTCACAGTTTGTAGCAACGTCCAACTCTGGGCTTCAGTGATTTTCTTGCCTCAGCTTCCCAAGTAGCTGGGACTACAGGCGCTCACCACAATGCCTGGCTATTTTTTGGCTGTAGTTGGCAGGCCTGGGCTGGGTTCAAACCTGCCAGCTCTGGTGTATGTGGCTGGCCCCTTAGCTGCTGAGCTATAGGTGCTGAGCCAATAATTGATTATTTTACTATTAACATAATGTTGGTTATTTATCCACTCAGCAAGTATTTTTTGAGAATCTACTATGTGCTAGCCATATACTAGGTGGTAGAGATTTAAAAAAAAAGAAAGACCGAATGAGGGACAACATGAAACGATGATGTGATTGGTGGAAAAATGCCAACCTGTACTATTTCTTTGCTAGCAAAGAATAACAGAAACATATGGAATATGCAGCATTCTCAGATAGGGGTAGATTCTTCCCAAGTTCTTAAAGTTCCTTTGGGCATAGAAGGATGAGAATGATACCTCTTTGTGGATTGCGGGCATTTAGAAGAATTTCTTTTTAGCAATTCCATTTTTTTATGTTTGTGTGTATTTGTGTTTTAAATGCCCTTCTTCTCTTCACCTGCTTCCCAATTTTTCTGGAGACTTTGGATGTGGAGGTAGGTATGGATCTGCCTCTTTATTAGGTATAATAACTGATACAAAACAACCCTAAAACATAAATAAATATTTAATGTGAGTCTGAGTAAACCACAAGATGTATTTGTGTGTATATTTAGTATCCCCACTGTTCCTCCACAGTTCTTGCTTTCTAGTGTCTTGTAGTTTAAGATAGTAGCTAGGCATGAAAATAGTCATTTGCTCTTGAAACCACTACTATTGGCCATATGGTTTGTAGTAACTCTACCATTTCATTGTTAATGTCAGTAGTGATTACTAATTGACAAATTCAAAGGATATTTTTTTCAATCCTTTTCTCACTTAAAGCTTCTACCTAACTTTTTAAAAAAAACTTTTAACTTTGAAACAATTGGAAACATGGGTCAGTGGAACAGTGTAGATGACCCAGAAATAGGCCCATACAAGTATAGTCCACTGATTTTTGACTAAGTTGCAAAAATCATTTAGTAGAAGTAGTCATTTCAATGAATGGAGATAAGCAATTGGATACCATAAAAATAAAATAAAAACCTCAGCCTAAACCTCACATCTTGTATAAATATTAACTAAAAATTGATAATATGTTTAAATGTAAGACATAAAATATATTAAAAAACTTTTTTCTTTTTCTTTTTTTTTTTTTTTTTGAGACAGAGTCTCACTATGTCGCCCTCAGTAGAGTGCCATAGTATCACAGCTCACAGCAACCTCAAGGTCTTGGGTTAACCAATTCTCTTGCCTTAGCCTCCCAAGTAGCTGGGGCTACAGGAGCCTGTGACAATGCCTGGCTATTTTTTTTTTTTTGTAATTGTCATTATTATTTGGCAGACCCAGTCTGGGTTCAAACCCACCAGCTCTGGTGCATGTGACTTGTGCCCTAGCTGCTGAGCTACAGGTGCCGAGCCATTAAAAAACTTTTAGAAGACATACGAGAAACATAAAAGTATAAAACTTTCAGAAGAAAACCTAGGGATAGGCAAAATGTTTTTAGGCATGACCTCCTCAGAATCACAGTCCACAAAACTAAAAAAAAACCTGATAAATTATATTTCATGAAAATTAAAAACAATTGCTCAGTGAAAAACTATGTTAAAAGAGTGAAGAAACAAACTACAACTGGAAGAAAATATTCACAAATCATATATTAAATAAAGGACTTATATTTAGAATATTATAAAGAACTCTTAAAACTTATCAGTTTGAAAATAATTCAATTGCAGAATAAGTAAATGAACAGACATTTTACCATAGATTAAGTGGTTGGCAGATAAGCACACAAAAGATCCTCAACATCATTACCCATTAGTGTAACCACAAAACCTTGATGAGTTCTTACTACAGTACATACCTATTAGAATGACTGAAATAAAAAATAGTGACAATTTCAGCTGACTTTTTTTTTATTGTTGAAGATTCACTGAGGGTACAGAGAACAAGGGTACACTGATTTCATGTGTTAGGTAAAGTCCCTCTTATAATTGTGTCCCACTTCCAAGAGGTGTGTCACACACCATGACCCCCCACCCACCAACCTCTCTCTGCTCCCCCCTTACCCCACCCTCGGGGTAATTCATTGTCCTCATACCAGAATTGAGTACATTGGATTCTTGCTTCTCCATTCTTGTGATGCTTTACTAAGAAAAATGTGTTTCAACTCCATCCCCGTTAATACAAAAGATGTAAGGTCTTCATCTTTTTTAGTGGCTGAATAATAAGTGGCTCCATCTTTTTTAGTGGCTGTAGTATATGTATATCATGGAATACTTTAGTGGCTGTAGTATATGTATACCCTTGATTTTGGAATACTATTCATGGTATACATATATTACAGCTTGTTAATCCATTCCTGGGTTGGTGGGCATTTAGGTTGTTTCCACAGTTTGACAATTGTAAATTGAGCTGTGATAAATAGTTTACTGCAAATGTCCTTATGATAAAATGATTTTTTTTTCTTCTGGGTAGATGCCCAGTAATGGGATTGCAGGATCAAATGGGAGGTCTAGTTTGAGTTCTTTGAGAATTCCCCATACTTCTTTCCAAAGAGGCTGTATTAGTTTGCAGTCTCACCAGCAGTGTAAAAGTGTTCCCTTCTTTCCACATCCATGCCAGCATCTGCAGCTTTGAGATTTTGTGATATGGGCCATTCTCACTGGGGTTAGGTGATATCTTAGGGTAGTTTTGATTTGCATCTATATTCATTAGTGAAATTAGCTTGAAATTCTTCTTTTTAGTTGGGTCTTTTCCTGTTTTTGGTAACAGGGTGATCTTTGCTCCGTAGAAAGTGTTGGGGAAGATTCCTTCCTTCTCAATTTTTTCAAATAATTTCTGCAGCATGGGCATAAGCTGCTCTTTGAAGGTTTGATAGACTTCTAGGTAGATGTGTGAAGCCATCTGGACCAGGACTTTTTTTGTTGGGAGATTTTTTATTTTTTTGATCTCAGTTTTTGAAATCAGTCTGATCTCAAGAGATCTATTTTTTCTTGATTAAGTGTAGGGAGAGGGTGTGATTCCAGGTATTCATCTATTTCCTCCACATTGTCAAATTTCATAGAGTTAAACACTGTGCATAGAGTTTCTTGGAGTACTCGGAGATGATCTCTTGTATCTCTGTCATCTGTTGTTATTTCCCCTTTATAGTTTCTGATTGAGGTTATTAGAGATTTTACTTTTCTGTTTCTAGTTAATCTGGCCAAGGGTTTATCAATTTTATTTATTTTTTCAAAAAACCAACGTTTTGTTTTGTTAATTTTCTGAATGATTCTTTTGTTTTCAATTTCATTCATCTCTGGCTTAATTTTGGTTATTTCTTTTCTTCTGCTGGGTTTGGGATTAGATTGCTCTTCTTTTTCCAATTCTATCAGATCATTTATGAGTTTGTTGATGTGCTCTCTTCCTATTTTTCAAAAATGTAGGCTTCTAATGAGATAAATTTCCCCCTTAAGACTGCTTTTGCTTTTTGCCCACAGGTTTTGGTAACTTATGTCTTTATTGTTGTTATGTCTGAGGAATTTAATGACTTCCTCTTTTATCTCTTCCTGAACCAAACTAGTATTCACCATAAGATTGTTTAATTGTCCCCAAGTCTTCATGTGGGGATGTTTTTGTTGGAGTTGAGTTCCACCTTTATTGCCTTGTGGTGTGAGAAGATACAAGGTGTAATTTTTATTCTTTTAATTTTGCTGAGGTTTTATTTGTATCCTAGGATGTGGTCGATTTTGGAGTATGTACCATCGGCTGGCAAGAAAAATACATATTCTTTAGCTTGGGGATGGTGTGTTCTGTATATGTCCATTAATACCATTTGTTTTAGGGTCACATTTAAGTCCTTTGCATGTTTGTTTAGTTTCTGTTTAGAGGATCTGTCCAGTTCTGTCAGAGCAGTGTTAAAGTCCCTGACTATTATGGTGTTATGGGATATCATATTGCTCAGACCCATCAAGGTCTGTTTCAACTTAAATGGGAGCATTTAAGTTGGGTGCATAAATATTTAAAATTGAAATGTCTTCTTGTTGAATTATTCCTTTGACTAGTATAAAGTGTCCATCTTTTTCTTTCTTAAATTTAGTTGCTTTAAATCTGCTTGTATCTGAAAATAAGATCGCAAGCCCTCCTTTCTTCTGATTTCCATTTGCTTGAAATACTGTTTTCCATCCCTTAACCCTGAGTCTTGATTTATCCTTTAAGGCTAGATGTGTCTCCTGGACACAGCATATGGATGGCTTGTGCTTTTTATCCAATCAGCCAGCCTGTGCCTCTTCAGTGGTGAGTTCAGTCCACTGAGATTTTTTAAGAGAATTGATAAGTGTAGTGGGAGTTGTGTTCATCTTATTTTGTGAAAGTCTGTTGTGTAGTTTTATCCTTTGGGCCATAGTGGAAGCTATGTTTTGACCTTTAGCTTCTGGGTGTTTACTTTGGTGGTTGTCCATTGTGGTGATCAGTGTTGAGAATAGGTCTAAGTATTTCCTGTAGAGCTA